GGCACAAAAATTGGGGATTGTCGCCTTCCGCACCACACCCGGTTTACCGCAGCCACCATGTGCGTAGTGCGTGAGCAACCGTCGTTTGCATTTAGGTACGATGTCGCTTTGGCGGCTGGCAGATCAACCGGCATAAAGAAGTCGTTGTACGTTGGTCTCGGTCTTGCTTCAACCTCCATTATAATGTTCTCATCACACTGTCTGGCATTCTGGGTTGGAACCGATTTTGTGTACAATGGCACGGTGAAAGGAGGAACCGTTATGATAGTCAGTCTTTCGTTTACATCAGAAGAAAGAAGTTGTTTGTTTTCTAAAGATCTGAAGATGATTTTAGAAACCCACCAGCACTCTTAGAATTTTCTGTTTTCTAGCTTGGATGAAATCGTTTGCTCAACAAACGATTTCATCCAAGCTAGAAAACAGACTTCACAGCTACATAAGTTCAGGGTTCTGGAGGGGGGGGGGTCCTTTGCAAGACTTCGGTTTTGTGTCTCTTTTAGAGGTTCAAGGCATGTAGCGATATTTGTAAGCTGTCAAAGAACAACGGTCACACTGTGGAGCTTTCAAATTCGGCGGGAAGCGTCAAAACACCCCATTTTGGTTTTAAATTATGTTTGAGTCATAACAGTTTGACCAAAAAATGTAAACATGCTGATCAAATTTTCTCATGGAAGTTGTTACAGTTTTCCAGACTTTTTGATCTAACCTCTGGATAGATCCGTCTTGTGGAAGACGACATGTCAGCATGAAATTCAAAATATTCACTGTACGTTGTTTGAGCAAATTTATGAATTTGTCCATTTTGGTATAGAAATTTTGAGATAAGCTGGTCAAGCTAATCGTTCAGTTGGGATTTCCATGATGTGCTTCCAGGAAAATGGGAGTAGGGTGAAGGAGTAATTCAGTGGCAAGATGCTGAATTTTGAGATGATGCGACAGAAATTTTCTTCGAACTAGGGATCGTTAGCCACGCTCCTTGAAGATATGTGGAGGTTCGCGAAATTCCAGCATGCGATAGCCCTGAATTTTTGTAGTATAAATTATTTTCGATTTTCATGAAATCAATTCATTTGTAAATGGGAACAAGTCTTTGCACAGCCTTGTATCTGTAGACGTTTTCTAAAATCACTCCTTCCATTCCTTATTTCCTCCACTGCACCTTCTGATAACATAGGTGTTCTTCTCCGTCATGATGGGATCCATGGCACTCGGACAAGCTGGGCCACAGTTCGCAGTCCTTGGCACGGCCATGGGAGCCGCCGGATCTCTTTATCAAGTCATTGATAGAGTAAGTTAAAGAATACTCAGTGACATCGATTGCAAAAAAGTTTTTTGCAGAAACCAGAGATTGATGCATATTCGACCGCTGGCATGAAACCATCGAATCTTAGAGGAAGGATTTCCGTGTCGAATTTAAAGTTTAGCTATCCAACTAGGCCTGATGTGCCAGTTCTCAAAGTGGGTTATAGTAAGATATTTTTTAACTTGCATTTCGCTCCTCTAGTGGTTTCGGTACCGTGCTCATTTGAAATGTTCAGAATATATCTAGCACATCGTGTTAAGTGATGGGCACACTGTCCTTCCCCACCTTTTAGTAGTATTTTCGATAGTGATGATGTGTCCTTATAAAAATGTATTGTAGACATTGTTTGCCTGCGCTTTGTAGAAGGATTGAGTTTCTATGACAGCGAGCTTTTGAAGCATAAGTGATTCGTTGTATGATTTTGAGAAAGCCTTAAAAATAATTTAGATCATCGTGACAATCTTAAGTTTGAAAATTGACGACAATTAAGGGCGTTTCGTTCGAAGCAAATCCAGGTGAGACCATTGCTTTAGTCGGTTCCAGTGGTTGTGGCAAGAGTACGATAGTACAGTTGCTGCTTCGATATTACGATCCAGCCGGTGGCAAGGTTAGATCATTTCAGCCGGTCCATGATGTTCTAGGCTGAATAAATATTTACAGATCATGATAGATGGCATTGAAATCGATAATATCAATATAGAATTTCTAAGAAATTACATAGCTGTTGTATCGCAAGAGCCTGTGCTTTTTAACACCACAATCGAGCAGGTAAGGAACTTTTGATTTCTTTCTTGAGAGGAGGGGAGGAGGAACTTTTGGAGTTTATCTTTTTTTGGCAGAGCTCATATCATAGCCTATAAACGCTTTGCGTTTAGAATATTCGCTACGGACGTGAGGACGTCACAGAAGCCGAAATAAATGCAGCTCTTCGCAAAGCAAATGCATCTGATTTTGTGCAGAGCTTTCCCGATGTAATTAGTACATATTTT